AATTGGAATTGTTTATATTTAAGTATTAATATTAACCGTTAAATTTCAAACCCAAAAAAAATTATATTTTATTTGGATTTAGTATTAAATTTTATTAGGAAAAAAATTTTCCGGATGGCATTATTTTTCAAATTTTAAAAAATTTTTTACCCCGTAAAACACTTCAAACACATGCGTGCTATTTTTCTGATGAATGAATTTTCAAAGTATATATTACAATGTTCTTACATATTATTTTAAACTTCGATTTATAATAAAATTCTATAGAAAACCCAAAAATTTCAAGACGGTATGATTTTTACAAATAATTTTTAAAAATTAATTCATCCTTCACCTCACACCTCACCTCACCACACACATGCACACCATTTTTCGTTAAAAAAAATAAAAAGGAACAAATAAAAAAAATTATTATATAAGTTATTTTTGATTCAGATAAATCAGTAATTTCTACTTAAAAAAATAAATATTTCCAGTGTGACATTGTTTTTAGAAGTATTTAAAAAAATTAATTTATTAAACGCCCTAAACGTCACTCATACTCACCATAAAACCATTAAATCAATTTTCCACAAAGGACACAAAATTTTTTTCTTTTTTATTTCTGAATTCAACTTATCATTAAATTCTACATGCAAATGAAATTTTTTAGGACATTATTAATTGTAGAATTATTTTTATTAAATAAATTAGTTTCGCTCCATCTCAATTTTTAAATCACTAATTTAAAATTTTCAATATTCCTTCCCATAATTCAAACAAAAGCGATAAAGATGATGACCCTCATAAATTTTAAAAAATCTACAAGAAAAATGTAATGTTACAGCAGATAGAACTATGTAAATAAAAATATTGAATGTAATGCATAATTGGTCTTTTCGAAGTTTCACGACTTACTTCCCAAATACTACAAATTATATGATTACTGTTGCCCCACTCCCTTCACTACTCCCCAATTTTCTTGTGTATTGCCCATGACTTCTGACTTTTCACTCTCCTCTCTCTCTTTTGTCTACTGGAATGAAATTTACTCATTGCTGTGGAAATCTTCTTCTTTCATTCATCAGATGTGGTTTAGTGGGTTCAAATCTCACACGGTGGCTTTCGATGCTTCCACCTACGACAAAAAAAAAATGATGTTACTGTTGCTAAAAAAATTGCTTCAGAAAAGAGTATATTAGAAGACCCAAATCCAAAGATCCTTCAATCCCTTCGAAAAGATGTGATGGAGGCGGTTTGAAAGTCCACTAATTTCAAATTCATCTATTGACAAGCCTATTAGTTATTGAATTAGTTATTGACTTCCAGAAAGACAAATATAAAAATACCGGTGAATCCATTTGCCTTGTTTCGAGGGTCACTGTTTATATTTTGTTTCTAATAATGCCTAATAATGAAAAGATACTAATTTGTCGTTGAAAATTACTTTATTGTTTCTCAAAAAATTTTCCATTATGGTCGTTAGAACCATTTGTCAAAGCATTTTTTAAATCTTCTTCAGACACCTCCTAAACATGGTTTTTAAATGCATCAAAGTCTACTTTTGTCGACAAAAATCGCTATCCAAACAATTAATTCTTGACGTTCGGGAACTAGAAGAAGTCATTGGGTGCCAAATCAGGACTGTACGGTGGATGATCCATTAATTTTAAGTTTAAGGTAAGTTATATTTAATAATGTTGAACTTTCGTATGGAAACGTCAGATGACAACTGACAATAATGGACTAAGGCTTAAAATATAAACAGTGACCCTCGTATAGTATATACTCAATCTCAACTTATCATTTATTTACAATAATTTATGCATGTTATAGCCCTATTATCAACTAAGAGTTTGTTAGTATTTATTTATAAATTAACCATAAACTACTTCTTGTATATTAGTGTGCCCTTTGAGTCTTTAAGTTCTCTCTTATTCGTCTTAAAAATAATAATAATGCGTAAAAGACTACAGCAATTGAAATTTAATGAACAATAAGGAAGCTATGATGAATTCATAAATCTGGAAATTTGGCATGCTCAATAAAATTTATATGCAAATCCTTGCCAAAAGTTCAATCTGTTCCATACAAAAGCAATTCAGAAAGTGAATAATGAAAACAGAAATAAATGAAAGAAAAATAATGCCAATAGAAAAAGGAAGAAGGACTTAAAAATACAAATATCACTGAGAAATAAGAAGACATTGAAGCTAATTTATTTGCAGATTTCTGAAGCAATTTCGCCGAAATTATTTTCAACTTATTTCATTCGCACTGTAAATGCATTCTCAGCAATTGCGAATCTTAAGAAGATTGAATTCATTAGAATGCGTGGCAAATGAAAGAAGCACCATTTCATAGCTACAAATCCATTGCAGTGGCAGAGGAAGTTCCATTCCGAAGAACAACAAATGCCAAATGAAGTTGTAAATATTGAAGGACGCAGGAAAATGTGTAATATTCACAAGGAAAGCTGAAAGCTCCATTCATGTCGAAACATAATAACAAAAAGTACTTATGAACTGAAAACGCAAATCCTTCTAATGAAGGAAATAAAACGCATTTATGTTTCATTTCGCGTAAAAAGTTTAATGAGGTTTTATTGGCTCCTGGAAAATAATTTACAAGAAACTGAAGGCAAAAGGAATAAGTTGAGGAAATATGACGAAAACAGTTGAGCATAAAAAAAGCTATTCGGATTTATTATCTATTTTAATAGAAATAATCACAAAACTATGAATTTCAGTTATGAAAGTTGGGTTATGAAGTGTAAAATGTCTAATAGTGAGTGTATAATGTGACACAAATCTGACAAGGAGTAAAGAAAATGGGATTCTCTGAAATTCAATGGTAGCAGATGTTTATATTATTTCAAACTGTATATATATATATATACATATATAGTACATGTATTAAATGTCATATTACATATTTACATAACGCATTTACTATATTAATGTTTATTTTTAGAATACATGATTAAACCTGTCATGGCAATGACCAAAATAAAATTTAATTGTTTATAGTTAATGGTGTTGAGAGATAGAGTCTAATAATACTCTTTAATTCTTCTTTTTAACATATCTTACAAATAATTAATATATATTATATCAAACTATATATAATTCTAAAACATAAACATTACACTTGTGTTATCGAAACAGTTGATTTTTTGATAAAATTTTGATGGGACCCTGTCTTGAAATATGCCCGATAAAGTTCCAAGAGAGAAACGGTCTGGCACATGATGGGGATTGTTTTTAGTCCGTACAAACCGGGCATACCACTATTGTGACGACATATTGTGACGATGCGTTTGGCATTTTTAAACCTCCTCTCCGCACGATGTGAGAATTAAAAAAAACTTACTGAAAATATAATTTTTATAAAAATGATAAAAAAAAATGTTATAATAATAATAATTTTTCAAACCCAGTAAGTTTGAATAGTAAATCTTATACTAAACCGCTGAGTAATGTAGCCTGCTAGTATAAAAATTATTTGAAAGGTAACTTCCAAAATATGCTATACGATTACATTTTTCATATGTCCAAATCTCCTGTTATGTACTAATTGTAGCGTCGAGACTATCATGCCTCTGTATCCATTTTCATGGTTATGAACCAATGCCGACGATGTATTACCTAATGACAATATCCAAACACGGTGAAGACTACTAACCGCAGATAACCCAAAAAAAATAATAATAAAACCGAAAGATGATATTAATGAAAGATATCTTATATATAAGACAATTGTGTCTTCACAAAACAAAAAATTTTAAGTCTATATTATTATTTACAGAGCCTGAGCTATGGCCATTTAAAATTTGTCGAAAATGCACATTGCCTAAACCCAATGGGTTCCGTATTTCATAGAATAGTAATTAAAAATCTTTTTTCGTGCTCCGACTATTTTAATTTCAATCAAAGATTTAATAAAAGATATTTTATCAAAATCGAAAGTGAGAAGGACAAAACCTGTTCCATTTGAAAAAGAACGACCTATATATATTTAAAACAACAAACTTTAAATACTAGATTTATTAAGTTAACATATAATCTTATATAAAAAAAATTGCCTTCCGGTTTTTTATTTTTTTTTGATTTGACTTAAATCATCATTGACCATAATCATTACTTACATTTGAACAGTAAAGAAATTGTATTTAAAATGTACTAAGTCCATTATTGTATATTTCATACAGTTTTTTGAATTTCGAGTTTGTAAAGATCAAGTTTTGAGAATTTCTCTATCATATGTAGGTATATACAAATCGATGATAATAATCCAAAGACATAGTGACCCCAACAATTCTCTAGCTCCGCTTAGAAGAATTCAAGTGATGTAAGAAAGATGTCGTTAATAAAAACTGTATTCCACAACAAAAGTGATTTTAATTATCAGGTTTAACCAAGCGCCCTTAAAAGAATTAACAAAAGTACCAGCTGCCACCAACTCTAATAAATTGTATTTCACTGACAAACTTCACACCTCATGCATTGCGGTGACTCAAAACTTTAGCAGCCCCTTTTCTTAAGGATCTTAATCAGTTACAATATCTGACACTAAACACTATTTTGAACTTCGCCAAAGGTTCTAGGTGGTTTCAAACCATGAGTTTTGCTATATATACGGAAACACAATGGGCCAATAGGCCTAAGTGGATCCCCTGAGCATTTCCAACTGCACTACTTTTTTCTATTCTATACTACAGTGGGTGTCTGTTTACTCATAAAGACAAATACTCATAAAGCCCAGCCTTGTGTATTATTAACTTAATCGAATACAGAAAGAGAAACAAACGAAAATCTGCGAATCGAACAGATGTATAATATAGAGTTATTATTATCTTCAACATATCCATTATTGCGATTTAAATACGTTACTAAAAGTAAAACATATGTTTTATGATCGTAAGAAGAAATTACATCAAATCACCACAATTACTTTATTTTAAATCACATTAGCCGAGATTAATTTTCAAAAAACAGAAAAAAAGTTCATAACTACTGAAATAAAGAAATTCAGTTTAGTTATAATCTGTTTAACAAATTCATCTCCCTTCAAATTTTTAGGCCTTTAGTCAAAATTTAAAGTAAAATACAAGATCAAAATGCCTTACTATGCCGACATGTCACCAATATATTTTCCAAGATATTTGTGCCCTCGTAATAAGGCCGTTGTGTTGGAGCTATTACGATACGGCTTGGAAGAAGGTCCGTTACATCATCCTGAACGCTATAATCGCCGTTTTAATTTTCCTCCTTCTCGACAAATTTTATCACCTGAACGAATGGATCAACTAATAGCGTTGACTGAGCCTTACAAAAAACCTTTTCTAGTAGAATGTAGAGGTAAGCTTTGTTTTTAAAGATTAAAAATTATTAATTTATTGAAAACATGTAATTTTATTTAGACTATGTTCTTGAAATGATACATCGATACTTGGTCCATCCATTTTTTCATGACAGTGACGACGAATACTGAATACAAGTGACAGAGTTGAGCGTGTTGAAGGTCGTAGTTAAGAATTTTTCATGAAGCCCTGATAGAATATTGGCATGAATGGCAAGGGGAACCAAGCCATATAAGTAAATTATTATGGAGTCCTGTGAAAATGTTTGTGGAAAAATTTTATATATGAAGGAAGTAACGTCTTGACTTTGCTTTAGTACCATTTAAGGAAATTTCCTGGAAAGTAAACGTGGTTTAGTATATAAAAACGTAGAACATTTTTCAGTAGCTCCAAATTAATTTCGAAAAAAGGAAACTTCATGAAAAATTAAGTGTGTAATCAAAACATATGAAAGCGAAAGAATGTATTTTACTTATAAATATACTTTAAATCAAGTCCGTTTAATGAAATTGTTTGCATATGGTATAAACTTATGGTAATTGATTTAACATTTCCTTAACATTATAATATATTTCATAGAATACATCATATCATATTACTATTAGATCATATTACTATCATATTACTAGAAGAGTATTTTCTACTAAAAACTCTGAAAAAATCTGCAGACATCTCGTATACGTCAATAGTATTCATTGGAATGACTACTTATAGAAATAGCTAGTTTACTTTATCTATAATAGTATGTTATATAATAAGTTTATAAAACGCATAAGAAAAAATGTATATCATGAATCCCAAATCCATAGTATGTTTTTGGAAGTTTTACAAAATTTTTCTAAAATCGTTTAATAGCAAAATGATTTTTAATCTGAGTAGAACTTGATGTCAGAGAGAGCTAAAATAGGAAAATACTTTGTTGGATAAAAAAAGTGGTGCTTTAATTTATTAGTGTTTAATTAGTCTTTTTTAGGTTGATGGAAAATTGTATGGAACCAAATAATATACATCCGTAAAATTGAGGTTCAAAGCATTTTTTTCTTTACACAGTCCTATATACAATCGATCACATATCTGTAAGTGATTAGTATGATATTGATACAATTTTCCATTTTTAAAATATTAATAATATAAGCAATATTTAAATTATAACATACAACATAGTATAAAATAGTATAAAAAATAGTATAAAATAGCATAAAAATCGTATAAAATATATATTATTTTGCATTTCCTTTTTTAAACTGCATGTCCTCTACCTGGTACACATATACTACTCTTGAACTAGTCTATCAGAGCGCAATCATATTACTTACCATTTGCTTACTGATCCACATAAAGCGAGTCATTTAGTCCACTCTTTGTCAATGCGTGTGTAAATTGAAGCACTTATTTATGTGATCCACTATTACAGATACACAAAACGATACCTCAATCTAAGTTATGATATAAAACATAAATTCAAAAATCTCTTATTAAATATATAAAAACTTGCCATCAGTAACTTTTGCAGATTTTTCCAGTAAAGCTATTGTCTTTAAACCTATTTACTATTGTCTTTAAGGTAAGTACTCTTCAACACCCTCTGTAATTTAGTGTATATTCCCAGTGCTTTTATATAAATTTATGAATCTAGAGTTATTAATCAACTAAATAAAGTCTTTTGAATAAAGTTTTAAATCAATTCAGTAGTTCCACTCCATATGATAAAGCTTATTGAAAAGTTTTAATTACACTTATATATTATATTAAAAATCTGGCAAAAGAGTATAAATGTCTGAAATCATTCATTTTCACTGATTTGAATGAAAATGTGATATGAGGGACTTTCTTTATACCAAAAGGTGGCTTGAATTTATATTATTAATTGAGGAAATTAAATTCAAACAAAATGTGTTGAACATTAATAAACCCACACATTTTTCACACACACCTGAGCTTAAAATTAGACATAAATAATTCATTTATTAACACACAAACACCCAAACACCCAAATACTTAAATACTGGCACGTGAGCCAACAAATAAAATATCTCAGGAAATAAAAGTGAATTAGGGGAGCAGCAGCAATTAATTAAAATATGACAATTTATGAGTCAAATAAATATATATACATATAGAGAAACCGACTAATTAAAGCAAGGAAACTTACAATTAGGAATTAGGAAAAGGAGAAAAATAATTTTTTTCTTTTTATTTTTTATTTAATTTTTATAAAAAATGTCTTAAATTATATGCTGTTTTCTAATAAAAGACCATAACTGCGCTATGGTTTGATTCAAGAAGGGAAAAAATTCCTATAAAAGAAGTGCAATTCACTTTCAATATATATCGAATGTAGTGTGTCAAAGTAATACCAAATGAACTTCAACGTCAACTTTTTGGCAAGGTGTTCACAATTTGATCAAAACAGAATTCCAACGTATTCCCCCTACTCCTGAGTTTTGTCCTTTCCCCAAGCAAATAGCGTACAAGACCAACAAAACAATTTATTTAAATGTTCGCAGCCTGTGATCCACTGGTTTTTATTTACCATAAAGCTGTATGAAAACGGCGACTTACCACATATTACGACATTTTTACATCAGGTACCAAATTCTTCATATCTGGAGTTGGTCTATTAGTTTTATGAATTAAAACCTTTTTTTCAGAAGATCGTTTAAAAAAAGATATTTGAATCAAATCTTTAATCACACATTAATTCATTTCTAAATATTATTTTTCACTTCAAATTTCTTTAATTTTTTTCTTTACTTTTACCATTTGCTAGTATAAAATTCCAATAATGACTTTGTTTTTGGTTTATTTTCAATCTCTACATAAGAGTAATAAACTCTTATGCATTCATATACTCTTTTACTTTGTATTTACTGTGCGCGGTTCAGTTTTTTTACTGAACCATTTGCCTATATAAAACGGCAACCGTGACTTTGATTGTATTTGCACGCTTTGTATGAACTTGGGGTTCAATTTAGTCGACTGAACTTCTAGTCAAATGTAAAACGATTTTCGCTCAGTCATTTCTTTTCACTTTTGTATTTACTTTGCATAACATTGGAGGTTCACTTTTTTTATTGAACCGCTTGCACGCATTAATTTAAGAGTTATGATTATTTTACGTACATATTTTGCGGGGCTTGTTTTCTATATTATTTTTATGTTTGTTTGTATGTTTTGTGTTTATTCAATCCAGAACATAGTCCCAATGTGAATGTTATTTCATTTGCATGCTTTGTAAGCAGCGCGGTGCAGTTTTTTTCTGAATCTTAGTATATTTTAAGAGGAATGTATTTTCTCTTTTATTAGTTATAAGTAATGTTGAGTGTAACTAACATACGTATGTGTGGTTTTGTTTGTATTATAACTTTTGTGTTTATGTTAATATGTTTGGAAAAGCTATTATAAAAAATGTTAAGTGGCAAAATAGTGAGATTATTTACCTAATAAAAAAAAAGATCTAAAAAGGAAGCTTTGTTAAGGTGTTCAGTGAATACTGTGAACCATTCGACGCCACGCCTCTGCTGGCTACTATATTTCATGTAATTAGATTAGAGTAAGGTAGTATACTAAGTGACTAAGTGTACCGTAATCGTACGATGGGTATAAACTCTATTCGATATAAACATGCAATTATTTGAATCAATATATCGCCAGCCTGATTTATTCTAACAAATGATCAATGTATTAATTTTGTAAGATTAATAGTAGATTAACACAATCATTTTAGCTCTGATCTGTTTGTTAAATTGTACAATTATCATATAATAAAAAATATCGTTAAAAATAAATATCATTTTTCTATGCAACACTGCAAATGTCTTAATAACGTAATTTTTTTTACGATATTACAATAATAGGAAATGAGTAGTCAAAAACTTTTTAAAAATAAGTATTAGTGAGCGAAATATGGTGTAGTAAGTTATTATAATAAAATATATTAAATATTATTGTTCTAGTTCACCACTATTCGAAATCTCTCTATTAAATGCAATAGTTGCTATAAAGAAAAATAGTCACTACTGTCATATTTGACGTTACAATGCAATGAAATAAATTATTTATATATAATAGTAGAATTCACGAACAAAAGTAACCTACTGGGTAATCGAGTAACATGTTAACACTGTCAATAATAAAATGCATGTAGAAGAAATGCATTTTGTTGTTGTGACTTTAGAATGCTACCATGTTACTCGATTACCAAGGTCGTTACATGGGATAATGAAAACCCCTAACCCATTTTCTACTACATTAATTCTATATATATTTTCAATAGGTAAAACTACTTGCGAAAATAACATAAAATATAAAGAAAGGTAGTGTTCAAATATCTAGAATACTTGGATTTTATCGGATCAAAGTTAAATGTATTCATTTTACATTATTATATGTTTATACAATATATGTCATTTTACAAAAAATTATTTAACTCAAATTTTGTTATATAGAAGATATATGTAAATATTTTTTCGCTATGTGACACCGCAATTTATATTGAATAAAATTGAATAATTTTCTTTCCCTGGTATATTTTTCCATTACTTTTGTCTCTTAATAAATCCGCTTATAATTTCGTGTTTCATCACATTCATGAATATTAAATATGATAATTATGTACTGAGTGTATGTATCCAACAAAAAAAAATCCTTAATATTCATTGGAATATGAATATCATTTAAATTCAGCCCAAATAGCTTTTGCTTTTTTCATGGAACTGACTTTTTTTATAGCTGCGAAAAGATATTTTAATGACATCAAGTGTTATTAAATATTAAAAAAATATTTCATGTGGGCAATTTTAGTTTTATTTAAGTTCACTTTTATTTCTTTATAAATATTTTACAATTTTTATAACATTTTATTCATAATTGTTAAAAGGATTAATAGAGATAATTTAAGATAAAAGTATATGTGTGTTAAATATTGATGATTTTGAAGCCAAAATTAATCCTTTAAATTGATAAAGTCTTTTTATAAAATCAATTAATGTGGGGAGAAGTAAAACATATAAATTTAAATCTTATCGTTGAACAGTTTAACGATTTAAGAGTTTTTGAAAAATCTCTTTATATATACATATTTATGGTAGATACTAGCAGCTTATAATTAAACTTAGCGAACATAACTTTCTTCTCAAAACATTAAGTGGTCCTAAGGTTTTAAATCAGACAATCGAAATTTTGAAAGTAAAAGAAAGTGATCTTATATATTATTTTTATATGATCCCTTTTACAACATAAATATATTATAAAAATAAAATTTATTAATTATTATTATTACTAATTTATATTATAAATAAGGTGCATCAGTTGGTTAAGGAACGCTGACTCTGGGCTTCAAATTTCGCAGGCCATAAGCTCAATTACTGGTACCTACAGCCTCAAAAAAAAAAAAAATTAATCACGAATAATTAAATACAAGAATTATTTCCAAGACCACTGCTGATAGGTATTTGGCAATATTCGAAACAGCTGTATGGTCAGCTGAAAATTCAATTAATTTA